TCCCATTGCAAATTCTCTGGTTTGGGTTGGGTGGTGGCAAATGTGTGTGATCTGCAGTGGCGCTGCTCACAGGGGGCAAGCAGGCCTCTCGAAGATGACCACGTTTAGATTCTAAATGGGAAGTGGAGGGTGAATAGGTCATGGTGGTCTTTTATGTTGTTGTTGTTTTGAGATGAAGCTTCGCTCTGTTGCCCAGGCTGGAGTGCAGTGGCATGATCTTGGCTTATTCAAACATCCACCTCCCGGGTTCAAGCAATTTTCCTGCCTCAGCCTTCCAAGTAGCTGGGATTACAGGCATGTGCCACCACACCCAGCTAATTTTTGTATTTTTAGTAGAGACAGGATTTCACCATGTTGGCCAGGCTGGTCTCAATCTCCTGACCTTGTGAGCCCACCTCAGCCTCCCAAAGTGCTAGGATTACAGGTGTGAGCCACCGTGCCCACCCCTGGCCTTTTTTTAAAGTTTAACTTTTCCTTTTTTGTTGTCTATTCATCCTCTTCGGCCTTCTGCTGCTTGGTATCAACATCGTCGTCTTCCTCATCTTCAGCTGCCCATTTGTCCATAGTGCCTCAGCTGCCTTGTTTTCAACTCCATTCTTTTCCTCACCATCACCTTCCTCCTCCTCCTCTTTCTCCCTACCTTGTTCCTCTATCTTCATGTACCTCAGTCTCCTGCTCCCCATTTTCCTCATTAGCATTCCCATTAGCATGGGCATCTCTTCCACTTTCTGCCTCCTCCACAGCTTCTCCTTGAAGTCCTTGGTGGTGATCGCGGAGCTGGTGTCTGATGTGGTGGGGCACGCCAGTGATCCGGTGCAAGGGATTAAGAAGAAAGCAAGAGTTCAGGGACTCTGTTGATTAAGCTGCCAGAGTCTGAGGTGGCAGAGGATGTGCATGGTGGAGGTGACTGTGGTGAGCAGGACATCGAACCAGGAACAATGCAAAGATGGGTTTTTAGAGCAGCCAGCTGGGGGTCCTCACTTAAAGAGGGCCCAGGGGGAAGCTTCTCTATCTATAATCTTTCTATGGCGATGCATCCTGTCTCTTTGCTTAAAATACCAGATGTCTGCTGAAAACTCTCGTCCCCAAACCTCCTCCCTGATCTCCAGGGAAGTATCCAACTGTCTACTCAACCTGAACATATCACAGATATCGCCAATTGACATATTAAAAATGTACTCCTAATATTTTCCCCCAAAGCTGATCTAACTACCATGGCAGTTAAAGTGACTTGATCCTTCCATCTACTCAGGCTTTGGGGTTGTCCTAAAGTCCTCTTTCTCCACATCCAGTCTATCAGGAAATCTTGTTTTATCTTCAAAATATTTAAAATGTGACCACTCTTTACCATCACTACTGCTACCACCTTGGTCTGAGCCACCACCATTTTTCAACAAGAATGTTGTTGCCTCATTAGTCTACTTGCCTCTACTCTTGCTCCCTTATTGCCTGTTCTTAACAGCCAAGGTGATCTTGTTAAAAACAAAACCAAAACAAAAAACAAAAACAAAAACAAAAACAAAAAACCAAGATCACAGCCAAAGTAATCTTGTTTTTTTGTTTTTGTTTTTTCAGACGGAGTCTTACTTTGTTGCCCAGGCTTCAGTGCAGTGGTATGATCTTGGCTAACTGCAACCTCTGCCCTCCCAGTTGAAGTGATTCTCCTGCCTCAGCCTCCCAAGTAGCTGGGATTACAGGTACCCGCCACCACACCCGGCTAATTTTTGTATTTTTAGTAGAGACTTCAGGTGATCCACCCACCTTGGCCTCCCAAAGTGCTGGGATTACAGGTGTAAGCCACTATACAAGGCCTGATCTTATTTTTTACTTAAAAGTAAAAGACAGTCATTGCTGTAGCCTATAAGGACCTTCCTTCCCCATTACCTCTCTGATCTCATCTCCTACCATACTCCCGCCTCATTCATACTGCGCTAGTCACAGGCTATTTGCTCTTTCAGGCAAATTCCCACCGCACGGCCTTCACACTGGTGGTACCCTCTGTCTGGTATGCTCTCTCTGCTCTCTCTCCAGGTATTACTTGGCTTTTTTGTTTTTTGAGACAGAATTTCACTTTGTTACCCAGGCTGGAGTGTGCAGTGGTACCATCTTGGCTCACTGCAGCCTCAACCTCCTAGGCTTAAGCGATCCTCCTGCCTCAGCCTCCCAAGTAGCTGGGACCACAGGTGTGTGCCACCACATCTGGCTAATTTTTGTATTTTCTGTAGAGATGGGGTTTCACCATGTTGCCTAGGCTAGTCTCAAACTCCTGGACTCAAGTGATCTGCCCACCTAGGCCTCCCAAAGTACTAGGATTGCAGGTGTGAGCCACTGTGCCCAGCCTTGGCTTTTCTGACTTCCTTTCAGTTATTGCTCAAATGACATATTCTCAGTGATGATCCCCTTTCAACCTTCAACCCCACATACTCCCATCCCCACCTTACTTGAGTATTCCCAAGCCCTCTTACTTGCTCTCATTTTTCCAGAACACTTATTAACCATAGTATATTCTTGTTTATTATGTTTGTCTCTCCAGCAAGAATATAAGCTCCATCACTAAGACAGGCACTTTTGTCAGTTTTTTTCTTTTCTTTTGAGACAGAATCTTGCCCTATTCCCTAGATTGGAGTGCAGTGGCTCGATCTCAGCTCATTGTAACCTCTGCCTCCCAGGTTCAAGAGATTCTCCTCCTGAGCAGCTGGGATTACAGGCGCACACCACCACACCTAGCTAATTTTTGTATTTTTAGTAGAGATGGGGTTTCACTATGTTGGCCAGGCTGATCTCGAACTCCTGGCCTCAGGTGATTTGTCAACCTCAGCCTCCTAAAGTGCTGGGATTACAGGTGTGAGACATCCCTTCCAGTCCTTTTTTTCTTTTTGGGATAAAGTCTGGCTCCGTCACTCCAGCTGGAGTGTAGTGGTGCGGTCTTAGCTCACTGCAACTTCCACCTCCTGGGTTCAAGCGATTCTCCTGCCTCAGCCTCCTGGGTAGCTGGGATTACAAGCACCCGCCACCATGCCCCATTAATTTTTGTATTTTTAATAGAGATGGGGTTTCACCATGTTGACCAGGCTGGTCTTGAACTCCTCACCTCAAGTGATTCACCCACCTCAGTATCCCAAAGTGCTGGGATTACAGATGTGGGCCACTGCACTTGGCCTTTTTTTTTTTTTGTCTCTCTCTGTGACCCAGGCTATAGTTCAGTGGTATGATCTTGGCTCACTGCAACCTCTGCCTCCCAGGCTCAATGATTCCCACCTCAGCCTCTCGAGGAGCTGGGACTATAGGCTTGCGCTGCCACATCTGGCTAAATTTTTTTCTTTTGAGATGGAGTTTTACTCTTGTTACCTAGGCTAGAGTGCAATGATATGATCTTAGCTCACTGAAACCTCCACCTACCAGGTTCAAGCGATTTTTGTGCCTCAGCCTCCAGAGTAGCTGGGATTACATGTGTGTGCCACCATGCCCGACTAATTTTGTATTTTTAGTAGACACGGGGTTTCTCCTTGTTGGTCAGGCTGGTCTCGAACTCCTGACCTCATGTGAACCACCTGCCTTGGCCTTCCAGAGTGCTGGGATTACAGGTGTGAGCTCCCGTGCCCAGCTTTTTTGTATTTTTGGTAGAGACAGGGTTTTGCCATGTTGCCCCATTGAGTAAAGTATTCCTAATGCCCAGAACACTGCCAGGCACTCAATATTTGTTGGATGAATGGATAGCATTAGTAACATCTTGTTTACTTAGTTATAAACAAGACCTCCCTCCCCATTTTAGGCCAAAGCTCCCTGAGGACAGGGAATATATATTATTCTGGACTCTTAATAAATATTGACTGACTAGATGAATAATGGGCTGTGTGAAAACAAGGAGGTGAAAATAAGCTGGCTATGTTTGGGTTGGAAATTAGGTGTAAGGGTCAGGTGCGGGGCTCATGCCTATAATCCCAACACTTTGGGAGGCTGAGGCGGGCAGACCACTTGAGGCCATGAATTCAAGACCAGTCTGACTAACATGGTGAAACCCCATCTCTACTAAAAAATTCAAAAATTAGCCAGGCATGGTGGCTACTTGGGAGGCTGAGGCATGAGAATCACTTGAACCCTGGAGGCAGAGGTTGCAGTGAGCCGCTATCATGCCACTGCAATCCAGCCTGGGCAACAGCAAGACTCCATCTCACCAAAAACAACTTTTGGTAAAGAATCAAAATAAGTCCGGGCATGGTGGCTCACACCTGTAATTTCAGCACTTTGGGAGGATGAGGCAAGTGGATCTCTTGAGCGCAGGAGTTCAAGACCACCCAGTACAACATAGTGAGACCTCATCTCTACAAAAAATAAAAAATTAGCCAGGCATGGTGGTACATGCCTGTAGTCTCAGCTACTGAGGAGACTGAGGTAGGAGTATCGCTTGAGGCCCAGAAGGTTGGGCTGCAGTGAGCCAAGATCATGCCACAGCACTCCAGCCTGGGCAACAGTAGGAGACTTTGCCAAAAAAAAAAAAAAAAAAAGCCATGTGTGGTGGCTCATGCCTGAAATTCCAGCACTTTGGGAGGCTGAGGTGAGCAGATCACAAGGTCAGGAGTTTGAGACTAGACTGGCCAATATGGTGAAATCCTGTCTACTAAAAATACAAAAAATAGCTGGGTATGGTGGTGGGTGCCTGTAGTCCCAGCTACTCGGGAATTCCTGCTGAGGCAGGAGAATTGCTTGAACCTGGGAGGCGGAGGTTGCAGTAAGCCGAGATCACGCCATTGCACTCTAGCCTGGGCAACAGAGCGAGACTCCATCTCAAAAAAAAAAAAAAAAAAGAAAAATCAAAATACATGAGAAAGAAATCACTATAAGATGAGAGATTGTACCACAGCACAAAGAAAGGGCCTGTTTGTAGAAAATGAAACCTATATGACAGGAAATAAGGAAAGTATTATTTACTTCTTTGCCGTAAATAATAAATAAATTCAATGTGAATGCTCAGCGGGGATCTATTCTCTGAAACCTCTAACCTGTGGGACCGTGGTCTCCAGATTGTAGTGCTTATTCAGGAATTTCAGCAGCTTCGGTGAGGGTCGGTCAATGGCCAATTGGTGTGGTTCCACTCGCTCCTTCTGCAGGGAAAAGGAGACTCAGGGTAGGAGGAAGTATGGGGAAAGCAAGCCAACAGGAAGCCAGAAGCCTGGGAAGGGAATAGGAGGACATGGGAACATGGGAGGTGGGAGGCAGGGCTTCTGGAAAGGCTCAGGGCAAAGGAGTCCCTAGTTTGGATAAACCAGTGAAGAGGTAAGTGATACCTGCAACATATACTGGAAGAGTTCTCGCCCATGGCCATGGCGTTGCACAGACTCATGGATGTAGAAGTCCAGGATGCAAAGTGGTTCTACCTCATTATGAGCCTCACGATCATCCTAAGAAGGAAAAAATGTTTTAGGCCCCCCAGCATCTCTGCTGCCTCCTAACCTCCAGCACTTTTGTTCTCAGGAACCAACGTATACGAACTCCCAGCTTCCAGTAACACTCACCAATACAAAGAGCTTCTTGTATCCAACTTTGATGAAACCAATAATGGCTCCTTTGCCAGCCCTGTAGGACAGGGAAGATAATGAACAAGCGTGTGGTAACCAGCCGGAAGAGTAGTCAAAGATTGGGGAAGGGCCAAGGGAGGAAGGAATTAAGTGTGGGATGGAAGAGCATGTGGCCACTCACGGTCGCGCCGAACTGTCTTTGAGAATATAAACAACATGGCGGTTACTCTGCATCCTTGATGCACTAGTGATGGGAGCGGAAAGATTCTGGGCCTGCAGGGAAGATTAAGTCAGACTTTCTGCAAGTCCCTCCAGAGGACCCAGGCCTCCCTTACCTACCATCCCCACAGAGGTCCCCCCCTTTACTCCATCTAAAAACTCTCCAGTACCTTGGCAGAAGCCTTGCCCAGTTCATCTAAAATGGTCATAATTTGCTGCTGCAGATCAACACTATAGAAAGAGAGGAAATAAAGAGTCAGATACTCACTGAATTAGCGGGTCCTGGGCAGTCAGTCCTGGGATCCTGGGAACCTGGGCCACAACTCCAACCCCGGCTCAACACTGAAGGCTCTCTGCCTTTACCTGGGAGTCTTCCAATCTGATTTCCCACCCCACCCTTCTGAAACCCAAACTTTTCTCACACATTTCAAGGTGGCATACTCCCTCCACCCTTAAGGTTATTGTGAGGAAGCAGAAAGGCCCGGTCAACCACATCTTTCGGTTGGGACATTTTGGGCCCGGGCCGAAAGGTCACAGATCCAAGCGCTGATCAATCCCACTAGGCCCAGGGTCAGAGGTCACCAAAAAGGCAACCCAGGACACCAAAAGGAGTGGTCACTCATCAGTGAGAAGGGGGCGTGGTGCCTGGACCAGGTTTGGAGAGGAACCGGGAGAAAAGGGCCATGGGGCGGGTTTGAGCTGTCACCGGGCCGGCGTTGTGGTTCCGGGTCGGCGGGCTGGGGGCCTCAGGTGCTGGTCCAGCACCGTGATCCGCTCCGGGAATAACGCGTCCACATCGAACGGGAACTCCATGGCCCATTGTGCCCGGCCGGACCCGCCCCACACGACGTCACTTCCGCCCCTCCCCTCGCTGCACCGCCCCCTTAGAGTCTTTATTTCCAGGAGCCCCGCCCATAGACCCTGCCCCTAGCTTCCAGGCAACTGCCCAGGGCCCCCATTTTTCTTTCCAAACCAGCTATGTCCCTAGCAATGCCACTCCTTCCCATCCCTGCATCCCATGGCAGTTGAGTGCCGTCGTGACCTATCTTCCTTGGCCCAGTGTCTCACTGTCCAACCTTTTAGCCCTCAGTGAACAGTGGGCCACGCTGTTAATGTGGAGTGGGGCCCACAACAGGCATCTTGACAGAGTGACACAACTGCCCATCCCCGGTTTCTGGTCCCCGGCGTTACTGGCAAGGCTGGCTTAAGCCCAACACTCACCACCCCCCCCGCAGCACCACCCAATTTGCTTATATGAAGAACATCGCTCCCCACTAATGGCGTTTATCTGAAACAGCCCAAAGCAAACCAGAGACAGGAGAAAGCTTTATTGTGGAAAAGCTGAGTTGGCAGAAGTCTGAAACAGCAACGTTTAGTCCAGCCCATCTATTTGCCATATATAGGGGCTGGGGTTTCCCATACACATCTGTACTGCCCTCCCTCAGCCTCAGATTTATCCCTATCAGCAACATTCATTTATTCCCTGGATCTGTCCTTGGCCACAAAAGACTATTCGGGGTGATATCCCATTATGTAAACCTATGCATATCTCCTAGACCTGGCTCTCTTCCCTAGTCTTTTTCTTTTTTTGAGACAGGGTCTGGCTCTGTCACCCAGGCTGGAGTGCAGGGATGCGATTAAAACCTCCGCCTCCTGGGCTGAAGCAATCCTCCCACCTTAACCTCCCCAATAGCTGGGACTACAGGTGTGCGCCACCATACCCAGCTAATTTTTGTAATTTTTGGTAGAGATGGGGTTTCACCATGGTGCCCAGGCTGGTCTCGAACTCCTGGACTCAAGTGATCTGCCCACCTTGGCTTCCCAAAGTGCTGGAATTACAGGCATAAGCCACCATGCCAGGCCTCTCTTCCCAGTCTATGGCTCCTACAGAGCATTCTGGGGGCCTATCTGCCCAGTGGAGGAGGCTTCTGCTGATGCTGTAGGGGGCACCTTGGGCATTGACTCAGGTGGGGGGCCACTCTCTTCTCGGAGATGACCCTGGTAGAGCCGGCGAAGGCGAGACAATTCTCTCTCTGGTGGCTGTTTCCAGTTGTACCACGGGTACCAGGGCTTCCCTGAGATCAGGGTGGGGGCTGGCAGGGTAGCACTCACAGCCCCATGAGAGGTACTGAAGTCAAGGTCCCGCGGTTCAACCTGGGGGATGTGGTAACTGAGGAGACCTAAAGGATTAAAAAAGAAAAGAAAGTTAAGAGGGAAATGAGGAGGGTGGTTTAGATTAAGAAAGCAAGAAAAAGGATAATAAAGGGAGGGACCAGTCAGAACCACTGGGTACATTTATGCATATTGTATAATGCAAACAGTTAACTGGCCCAGAGGGCAAGTGTGGGCTGACATACTGCCTGGGCTCTTGCTTACAAAGCTGTGCAACCCTACACCAGGACTATGAAGCTGCATCTGCTCCGACAAAGGGGTATACCTTTTATTAACTCATGCAACAGTGCCATGTAGTCCAGGGCCAGACATTTATATAAAGATCTTCCTATAATCTTGATATGGTATTGAGACCAGCAGTTGTAAAACAGAAGGGAAAGGAATGGAAAAACAAAGAACAAGGAGACAGGGAAATGATAAAGTAAGAGACTTGGGACAATGGAATGTCAGAAGAGACTCAGGAAGAACATGCTGGGTGCTACCATCTTGAACAGGTGTGAGCATTTATATCCATCCTCCAGCCCTAAGTCATCTTCCTTATACCTAACAAAACTGCCATGTGCCCCGTCTCATGCTCACCAAGATCCCTGGCTTTCTGGATGGCCTGGGTCAACCTCTTATGCTGCCTCATACAGACTCCTGTGGGGAGAAAAAGGATAACTTGTTCTTTAAGGCACAGTAAATAACAGAACACAATTGCTTCCATATAGTGACAGAGGGCTAGATTTGGAAAGCTTGGCTTTACCTAATGACCCCTTTCACCTGACGCCTCCATGGAACTCAGTTTCCCCATCTGCTGAATGGAAAGAATCTCCCCTATATCTGGGAGAGCTGGGATAAAGATTTAGGAGGGTCTAGCCACTACAGAGAAGCTATTTAATGGTAAAGCCTCCAAGACAGGGAGCAGAACACAATTTAAAGGGCAAGTATGGTTAGTTAGAGGATTGAGTTAAACAATCCACAGAGAAAGATTCAATAAAGGGAGAAGAGATTTCAGAGTTGGGGAAAGCAATTGAGAAAGTAACAATAATAGTCCCTTCCGTCTTTAACAGCTTGACTCTAAGAAACTCTGACAAACTGAACACTGATTGTACTGCCACCCCCAATAATGGTGGATTAAGGAGATTATTTACTCTGCAAGGCCAGGCGCAGTGTCTCATGCCTATAATCCCAGCATTTGGGGGAACTGAGGCAGGAGGATCACTTGAGGTCAGGAGTTCAAGATCAGACTGGCCAAAATGATGAAAACCTGTCTCTACTAAAAAAAAAAAAATTAGCCAGGCACAGTGGTACGTGCCTGTAATCCCAGCTATTCAGGAAGCTGAGGCAGGAAAATTGCTTGAACCCAGGAAGTGAAGGCTGCAGTTCTGTCTAGAGTCATACAGTAAATATTTTAAACTCTGCAGGTCCTGTGGTCTCTGTCTCAGCTACTCAACTCTGCCACTGTAGCCTGGGAGCAACTGTAGACAATAAAAAACAAATGGACATGGCAGGGGGCCAGATTTCCCTATGGCTATAGTTAGGGAATAGATATACTCCTGAATTGTTAAATTTATGATTCCAAGTTTGGAAATCTAATTGAATTGACAATGATATAAAATAACTTCTGTGACAATTTGTGAAGAATCTTTTGTAAAAATAAAACGACCCTATAGAAAGGAATTAATCACCATTCATCATTTAAGAAATAAATTTAGATAGTCTGCTTACAGAAGTACTTGTCGTTTTTTTTCTTTTCTTTTTTTTGAAATGGAGTTTCACTCTTGTTGCCCAGGCTAGAGTACAATGGCAAGACCATGGCTCACTGCAACCTCTGTTTCCTGGGTTCAAGCGTTTCTCCTGCCTCAGCCTCATGAGTAGCTGGGATTACAGGCATGTGCTACCACACCTGGCTAATTTTGTATTTTTAGTAGAGATGGGGTTTCTCCATGTTGGTCAGGCTGGTCTCGAACTCCCAACCTCAGGTGATCCACCTACCTTGGCCTCCCAAAGTGCTAGGATTATAGGCATGAGCCCCCACACCCAGCTGTACTTGTCTTTTTCTATTGTCCACACTTAACTGCTTTAGCCCCTACTAAGCCACGATTTCCAAAAGGTTCAGCTAGACCTTCTAGGCTATAATTAAGAGCCATTGAACAAATACCTATTGACCAATTGCATAAATAAGGCATGTCACAAGGAAAAGCACCCTGGTGGTGCAGGGATGATGGGCTAACCTGTGTATGGAGCATGGAAGATGATACCCGTATGGGCGCAGACAAACTGTTCCAAGAGCTTCACGTTCTGTCGGGGAGAGTGGTAGAGAAACATGAGGAAACAGGCAGGGAGAGCAGAAAAACCTTTGGACACCGAAAGCACAAAATCCCTACACACCCACATGGATGATCTTCACCCCTCCATAGCTCTCCAGATACTATCTTCCTTCATGTCCCAGTTTGGCTTCATCAATTCACTGAATCCATCCTTGAACATCCCATATTCTGTATGTCACTGTGCTTCCACAGAAGTTTCTTATGCAGAGGTTAAGTTCTTTTTTTTTTTTTTGAGATGGAGTCTTGCTCTGTCACCAGGCTGGAGTGCAGTGGCACGATGTTGGCTGACTGCAATCTCTGCCTCCCGGGTTCAAGCAATTCTCTGCCTCAGCCTCCCGAGTAGCTGGGACTACAAGCGCCTGCCACCATGCCCAGATAATGTTTTGTATTTTTAGTAGAGACAGGGTTTCACCATCTTAGCTAGGCTGTTCTTGAACTCCTGACCTCATGGTCCACCCACCTCAGCCTCCCAAAGTGTTGGGATTACAGGCATGAGCCACTGTTCCCGGCCTGCAGAGGTTAAGTTCTAAAGTCAGCCTTCAGGTGAAAGACTGGGGCTGGTCATTGGAAGTACCAGAAATCACCCAGAAAATGATATTGTAATGTGTGTGTCTAAATAACTAATGTACTTAATAGCATGCTGAGGTTTTTTTTTTTTTTTTTTTTGAGACAGAGTCTCACTCTGTTGCCCAAGCTGGAGTGCAATGGTGTGCTCTTGGATCACTGCAACCTCCAACTCCCAGGTTCCAGCAATTCTCATCCCTTAACCTCCCTAGAAGCTGGGATTACAGGCACCCACCACCATGTCCAGCTAATGTTTTTGTATTTCTAGCAGAAACGGGGTTTTGCCATGTTGGCCAGTCTGGTCTCTACCTCCTGACCTGAGGTGATCCGCCCGCCTCGGCCTCCCAAACTGCTGGGATTACAGGTGTGAGCCACTACACCCAGCCAATATAATATTTAGTCTTTAAGGAGCAAATCCTGTCCTTCTCACATACTGAAGCCTTTTCGAAAAATACTAGACTCGGCCAGGTGCAGTGGCTCACACCTGTAATCCTAGTACTTTGGGAGGCTGAGGTGGGTGGATCACCTGAGGTCAGGAGTTCAAGACCAACCTGGCCATCATGGCAAAACCTGATCTTTGAAAAAAAAAAAAAAAAGAAAAATACTAGATTCTATCTTGCTTCATTTATCTGCTCTCCAGCCCCAGGTCCCAGCATGCCACTGAACACTGATAATGAAATAAAGAAAACCTCAAGAAGAAAATGGGCCAGGGCTGGGCACAATGGCTCATACCTGTAATCCCAGCACTGTGGGAGGCCAAGGCAGACATATCACGAGGTCAGGAGTTTGAGACCAGCCTGGCCAAAATAGTGAAACCCCGTCTCTACTAAAAATACAAAAAATTAGCCGGGCGTGGTAGTGGGTGCCTGTAATCCCAGCTACTTGGGAAGCTAAGGCAGGAGAATCACTTGAACCCGGGAGGCAGAGGTGACAGTGAGCTGAGATTGTCCTATTGCACTCCAGCCTGGGCAACAGTGTGAGACTCCGTCGCAAAAAAAAAAAAAAAAAAAAAAGAAAAAGAAAGTGGGCCAATATACTTGCTAATAAATATACAGAATACAAACGAGTATCTTTGAATACTGCTCTCTCATAGAATAGTCATTTCTCAAACTGAAAGAGCAAAGCCAAAAAAAAAAAAGAAATAGCCATTTCTTTTACCTGCCAATTTAGACAATTTCAGAGGCATGGGATAAAACTTTTCAGTACAACCCATAGTAGAAGGTAAAAGGCTGGAGAGAGGGATGTTTTTTATAGTGCCAGAAACAGTTACTACAAAGTAAACTGCAGGGGCTCTAGGATATGAAGAAATGTGGGGCACCTACGGTAATCTCCTTGGCACTACAAAGGAGCTCGAAATCTTTATTTTTCTTACCATAAAAACAAAAGATTCTCCTTACCCTAAAGTCAACATGCAACTTGTGATCTCGGCAGATGGGGCAGGGATTCCCAGCAACTTTATTCCCACGCTGTAGAGAGAAAAAAACTGGTGATTAAGGATGTTCAAATCTCTGTCAGAAAAAGTGCTGCTGTTACTGTCACTGTGGCCTCTATCCCTACTCCACATTCCATTCTCAGAAACTTACAATACATGTTTTCCGAGTACGCTGTGGGGGTACACCACCTTTGTGGTTGCGGCGGTAGTCAGCCCAGATGGGGCAAGAACCATATCGCTCCTGGTATTCTGAAATGAAAAATCATACAAGTTATTCCTGGGTGGGAGTGTAGTGGGTGGCTCTGTCCACTTATCTCAAATCCTTCCTGATCCTCCCTTTCCCCATTTAGAGGTACCTTCTGATTCCAGATATTTCCAGGGCTCATTCTCATAAGGAGAAATGGGAACCGGGGGCAAAGACTTTTCCTCAGAAAGAGCTTTGGTGCAGAGAGTCTGGAGGGGAACCTATAAACAAGAAGAAAAAAATAAAAGAATGAATTCAGGGAAAGCACTCAATTGTTTTGCTTATCACACTTTGGAAAGAGGGGGAATGCACACATATTGCATTAATGGAATATAACAGGAATACATATGTATGTTAAGTATTGTTGTTGGGTTTAAACTGACATAAACCAACAACTACTCTTCTTTTCTACAACTGGATCCTAAAAGAAAAGCTAAGTTGGGGAATATATGCCTGGAAAACAATCTTATTTCAGAAGACAAAAAATCTGGCACATAAAAGGTATTTGTGCTTTTTGGAAATGAATTGAGTCTGGTGGAAGAACAAAGTAAGAGAAGGGATGGCTAGGTTCTTGGAAGTAAGATGTGTGGTGGGGAGGGGATGCAAAAGACAGGTTAGTCTCCAAATCAATCAAGTCACTGAGTTGCCCAGTTTCATAAAAGCTGAAGGCCAACATTCCACAGGGCAGAACAAATTTGAGTCCTAACGCTAGCTTTAAAACTACCAAGGCTGTTATTAACTCTGTGTTGACCTCTGTCACTACTCTTCAGTTCCACTTAAGGGAGTGGCAGCTGGGCAAGCCTTCCTATCTCACCGTGCCCCACCAAGAACCTCAGAGAGGTGAGTACATAAGACTGGGGAAAAACGGGTAAGCTCTTCTAATTCCGACAGAAAACTGATTAAAAAAAAAAAAAAAAGCCGAGAAACTGTCCTCAGGTAATAAGAATACATCTTGACATTATTGGGACATAGCAAGGTTGGTAGAAATTAGGACCCCCAATTTCCCTCAGTACATTCCAGGGCAACACAGATTTAGACACCACCTGCATAGTTAAGACTTGATTGTGGCGCTCTCTTGGGGAGCACATATGTTATGGTAAAACTGCAACGATTCAGAGAAGATTAGCCTGATCCCTGAATGATTTAAAAAAAAAAAAAAAAACAGAAGCTGGTTATACATGACCGTGAGTGGACGGGGGTCAATTCAATCACTTAGTTATTTTACTTAGATTCTATTTTGGAAAAAGGATGACACCTAGCCCTGGCGCTTAGTCTTCGGCTGGGAATTAGAAAACGCACTGTGTATGGGAGGGGGTTGCAGGAAGTACTGCCTAGAGACAAGACATCAGCCCGTGGAAAGGTCTCCACTCGTGGATTCCTGACAGTGGAGCGACGACCTAAAGAAGGTATAACCAACTTGGGGTTGTGCAAAATGTCCTTCGAGGAGTTACCTGAACTCTGTGGACACCTCGGAAGAGCGAGCGCATAGGAAGCCGCCTCAGGAGGGTGTTTAATACGGACGTCGCCATCTTGACGTACGCCCAGCGCAGGAATTGACGGAAAGGCAACTGCGCATGCCTCAGGAAACTGACTAGGGCAGGGCCAAGGACAAGCCCGCAGTGCGGAAGGCGGCCGCACGTTTGCGTCAGGACGGAAGCGTAAAAGCGAGGGCATTGGGGAGAAGCTAATTTCAACTGCGTCACAATCGAATTAGACCTCAAAATTGGTTTTTTTTCGGGACCAGTCACTACGGCTGCTAGATCCCATTGTTAGAATTTGCGTTTTAAGCAATTTTGCAAGCGATTTTGACCGGGATCCTCTCAGTGCGCATGCGCTTAAACGTTTCTGCCAATCATGGGTGAGAAATGTTTTCCAGGGCGGAAGTGGTGGAGGCAAGAGGAAAGGGAGGGGCTAAGCTTCTCTGGTCACGCGCACGCTACAGGGGGGCCAGGAAGGAGGCGGAAGAGGGTGCCAGGGAAAGGGCGGAGCGAAGGCGAAGGGATAGTAGCCAATCAACTGGCGAATTGTTATTTAGGTTGACCAATGAGTTTACGACTCGCGTACAATGTCTCGCGACAAGGGCGTTTCACTAACACGTTTGGGGGCGTTGGGCGGCGTCTCGGTATAAAACACTCCACCCGAGAGGGCGGCCGCCATTCTGGGGTTCGTTTAGAGGTAAGTTTGGCTGCTTTGTCGTTTAGTGGGTAAAGTTTTGCGGAGGTCTTTGCATCTGGGAAGTGGGGTAGGGATGGGTTCATTTGACATCCACGTCATAAAGCGGCTATGTTTACGATGGGACGCAGAGATGTGTTTTCGGACAACAAAGATGGCATTTCTGGGTGTTTTTGAAGAAACCCGTGCTGATTATATCTTTCTCCCTTGTGTTCCTTTTATCCCAGGTTTGAATTTTCTCGGAGAAAGACAGGCCGGCCACGAGGAAAACAGAAACAAGCCGCAGCAACATCTAAGCCCTTGAAAGGATCCTGAGAGAGCGGGGGGAAAGGGAAAACAGCAGCCACCAGCCCAACCACTTGTGTCTTCTGCCCCTTCCCAACTATCTTGCCCACCCCACCAGCCCACGCTGCTTGGGACTTGAAATCTGTGGCCGAAGGACCGTCACCACATAACTTCAAAAATAATCAACCACCCTCCCTTCCCAAACCACCCAAATTCACTCATCCAGCGTTTACTTTTTTTGAATCCACTCAGAACTTTTTTCTGCGACCCCCCTCCCTAAATGGAGTTGGGTGGGGGGGGAAATGAATACTGAGTTGGCCTTCATTTTTTTTAAAAGACTTTTTGATCCAATGAGGCCCCCTAAATAATTGAGTTTTGGGTCCTGGTTGGTTGTTTTATTTTTTTTCCTCCAAAATTTTACCCCCTCCCCCCTGAGCCCGAGGTGCTGACGTCGCAAAAAAATTGGATAGTAAGTGTCGAATTTTCAAAAACCAGCCTTGCAACAAGAAATCAACGTTTCCCGTTGTGAAACCAAAAATAATGAGAGGAAGAAATGAGACCATAGAACAAATAGAGAACTGGAGAAGGACCAATCTGGTCACTTAATCTCCGTTAAAAAGGGCCTGTGGGTCTAAACAGTCTTGTTCTCTCTCCCTTACCACCTATCTCTTCCCTGCCCTGCTGCAGGCAAGGAGAGGGTGGAGGGAGGGCCAGAAAATGAGGATTTTGATGGTTAACCCTTGGTAATCCAGCCAATTTCCAGACTGCCAAAGCCATACGTGTTATATAAGGAGGAATGGTTACCTTCCTCTGGTTAGCAGCAGTCTTCAAAAGGGTTAATGAGCTCACATACAAGAGATGGTGGATCTTGTGGCCCAGAAGTACCACTTCTTTGTGTGTGAGACAAGTAGGGTGCCTTTCAATTTGCCAGATTAATAAGCAATCTGTACATAAAGATTGCAGGGTAAGGAGATGGGCAGAGAAATAGCTCGCTGTAACTTTAAATGACTGTTAAATCCTCTCAATTTTAATGTAATTTGCTTGGGGTATATTTGTGTGGTTTAAAATAGGTGGCAATCTAGGAATAAAGATTGCAAGACACTTAATTTAGGACAAAATATAAAAAGTGCCAGTACATAACAAGATAATAGTTGGGGAGGTAAAAAATGTCTTGTAATTGTTGCAGATTGCATAGGTATTTAAAAGCAAAAAAATGATTAACATTTTTACTTGATATTTTTTGGTGGGAGGTACAGTTAAATAGAGGGTGGAAAGGTTGGGGAATGTGGAATTTAGGAGTATAATTTTAAAAGCCATTTAGTGCAATTGAATGCTAGCTTTCTAAAAGATTTGTGTCGTTAAAAGGAATTTTTTTCTTCCCTGCTTCAATATGGCGACTTTCCTTGTCCTTTTGTCTTCCAAGCGGCGTTGCAGGTTGTGTCTTGACCCATTTTTTTTCCTGTCCTCCCACCTCAACCCTATTTGTTGAGAGGGGTCCAAGTCCTTCCTCCCCCTTTTCCCTCTATAGGGAGGATGGGGGTGGTCGATGGTAGCTGGTTAAGCCTCCGTTGCAAATTCAGTTCTTCCCTGCAGAAAACTGTTCTTTTTGATAGTTAATTGCTGTAATTTTCACTACGCTCTTACTGCTCAAAGTAGGTCAAAGATTATTCGGGATGGGGAACTGACTTGGTTTTTTACTAAAGGTGTTTTACAATGTGACTGAAGCTACCGGCAGAACCGGGTGGCTTTTTAAAGTTTGAGTCCTCTTTCTCCATTACAAAATGGCGTCCCTCCGTCTTTGTTGTTTTTCTTCCCCTTCTGCCATCCTGAGCTTAGGGCCGCCCTAGAAACTTGGTTAAGGGGGAGGAGCAGCTTTGAAAGGTGATGTAATCAGCTTGCTTCCTCCTGTCTCCACCCTCTTGAAGCTCCACCCCTGAGCAGATGCCTTTGCACTCCCTGTGCTCGTTGCTGCTTAGGAAGAAGACATTTTCCTTATTTTCTTTAAAATATCTTAAAGGGATAAGAGCTTATAGGCGTTAAGTACGAAGGCTGTCCATTTCCTTGGGTAATTCTAGTTTTTATAGAACCAGTTTTTATTTTCACTTTTCTCTCATCACAACAGCTTGTAATTTTTCCCCACTTTAGCTGCCAGGGGTGAAAAAACAGGCAAACCTAAGACTGGGAACCTTTGAGGATGTGTGTGAGTGTGTGTGTATGTATATATGTGTGTAGAGGGAGATGGGAAAAACACAAGGGCTTGCGAGAGTAACTTGGAGATAAATTGGGGCTTAATGACACTGAAATGTGCCATTTCTGCTCAGGAACCAGTCTGGGCCTCCTGCATTTGATCGCTTTATGTAATGGGACTGGGGGAAGGTGGGTACTTTAAGGACTTTCTCCTAAATCACCCTCATTCCCACCTCAGTTTGGGGATAAACTCTGTATTCAGTGCTGTATCACGTTCTCCACTTGCTTAGTTCCTGTACATTGGTACTAGGATGAGAAGTGAATCTTTAGGAAAGGAGGCGGCAGTTGTAAACTCAAGGCAGGGGGAATCAAGCTACGGTTTCTGGTAAGCAAAACCTTTCTGGTATTACATTTCACAACTTTTCATTTATTTTTTTCCAAAGAGCCACCTTTTTTGAATTTCTTTTTTCCTTCCCTTCTAAAAGAAATTCCTTAAAAGCATTAATGAAAAAATGTCCTCTTCATTTTTCAACTCGTGCAGTGCTGTGGCATTTGGTGCATGTTCAGAAGCCATGCCCTATCTGAGGGTGGTATTGAGTGTCTGGTTCCTTTCTTTTCTTCACCCAACTTTTTCAAAGTCAAATCTTTATCAGACTCTCCATATAATTTTCATTTTTAACAGTCCTGCACTGAAGCGTGGAGGTTCTAGGCAGAAATGGAAAGTATACTGCCCTGTGGTGACTTATGTAGGATTTAGGGCTAATTTTCTACTGGATACAGATTCTCAAATTACTACTTAAACTTCTGGATTGGATGGGAGGGACTCTTCCACACGCTATTGACCACACTTTTTTTTTGTTTTATTGTTTTTTTTTTTTCTTTTAAGCAGTTTGCCATGTGCCTCTGCAGCATATCTTCCTTGGGAGCTGAACATTCTACCCACTGGGGTTCCTGATCTCTAGTGAGCCAGGGGATTAATAGAGGTCTTCCTTAACATGGGAGATGGGAAGCAAGGTCTAATAAGGGAACCAAATCCATCAGAGAATCTTGGAAAAGCTGATCCCTGTAGTTTGTGGCCAGAGTTCTAGTCCGGGGTCTTTATGAATAGGGGTGGTATATCATTTTGCCTCCTTATTGAAAGGCAGATAAGCTTTTGAGGAGCTCATGTATCAGGTTTACAAAATTACTTTGAAAGGTAGGGGCTTACTACTTGGAAGAAAGCTACGACCTTGTGATGAATCACTTGAGAGATGTAATTCAGTCCACTATTGAGTCAAACTAAAAAATGCCTAAAACACTGAAGAAAAAGGAAGGGGAACATAAGGGGTTAGGTACAAATCATTTTCATTTCCAGGTAAATTTGGGACTACTTCTTTTGTAAGAAAACAATTACCATTTTTTAAAGGGCTCTGGCTTGCACAGAATTTTTGTCCTGAACCAGTTTAGTCCTGTTTCATTGGTGATGGATGTGGAATAACTTTAGGTAGGCTGGATATTTTTTCACCCTATTTAATTGAATAACCCTCAAGTAAAATCCATTTTGAAGACAGGAGTCGGTGTCACAGATGTTTATCTGGTAAGAATGGTAGAAAATTCCCCAGTGCCTTGTGCTAGTAGAGCATGGCTCTCCCCAAAACATTCTCCATAAGGAAAAGCATAGCTTAGGATGAGGTGGAGGTAGGCCGGGGGTTGCTGCCTCACCCCCCACTTTCTGTATGTTCTGCAGTCAAGGAAATAGCTCACTAAGAAGACATAATCATGCCCTGGATTATTTATGGTTTCAAAAAGCTTTCTCAAGCTTTCTAGACTCCAGATCTTGAGTAGGTAATAACTATGACAGTCACGGCCCCTGCCTGCCTGTGTCCACTCAGTTTGCCTTCTCTGCTGTAGGCCTGTGCCTGGAATGTTGGACTTTTCATTCCTTTCCACTAGAGTGCCTTCGAACTTGTTTGGTTTTTTTCCAAAATATGCTGACCTCAAAGTAAGGAAACTAGGTTGTAAGGCGTTTGGGGTCCTTAATTTTAAATAAGAACTAATCTGCCTGTAGGAAGGCCATTGTGAGGAAACCCACTTATATTTTATCAAGATTGGTGCTCATGAGACATAATTTCACTTATAGTTCCAGAAAGTATATAAGTAATGGAAAATGAATATTTAACTAATTTTGCTTTGTTAGCTTCCCTTTGACTATTAGTGTGTTTTATTCCTGTTTATACAAATGGGAATAAAAAAGTCCCTAGATCCCATTCCCAGCAGAGGGCACTGGACAGAATTTAGCTTTGTTCTTACTGGTCCATCTTTCTAAGACTGACTCCTCTCATCTCCCATCCTCTTAAGGAACATTTGAGCTCAGATGACTTTTTTTTTTTTAAGTGTTTGAAGGAAATAGGGGTAGCAGGTCAATTGGCTTAGCCTGTAGTTGGATATACAAAAGGGAATTCTCCAGGGTTATATATATTCAGCTCTGGGTTGAATCAAGTCAAGGAGAACTGGCTTGAAATGATGTTTAATTCAAGGCCTTTTGTCAAATTGCATATATTTTGCTTTGGGAATCTAATGGTAGATACATGTGTGTATATAGAGTTTTAAAAATTTCTTAGTCTCTTGATTGCTTATGATATGTTATTATTGGAACCCATTCATTGCTTTTCCAGTTTCCAGCAGATGTGATAGTCTGTTTTATATGTCCCTTTATCATATCTATCTATAGTTTCTATAGATCACTTTATAGTATCTCACTACATGGGAAAAATACCTTTATTTCTGTGTGTGTAAGAATTACCACACTTGAGTGGATTTGGCCCACAGACGTCTAATCTTTTCCAGTATTCTCCTTGAATGTTTTTTCTCTGACCTCAGGTTCCACTTGTACTTGTGGAGGTTCCAGGGCAGCAGCGACTTCTCAATGTTTCTTGCCTCATCTCCTCTCCCTCTGTTCAGCCCACAGGTTGTGATCTCCAGAGCCAAGATTGTACTCCTATCCCGTCCCTTCCCGGCTGCTGCCTCTGCTTGCTTGCCCAGATTGTTAGGACCTACACATTTGGAGATGTATTGACCTTTTTGTTGGGAGGACTAAAAGCCTGAGATTGCTATGCTTATGTTTTTTCTTTTGTTTGAGAACAAATAGAACTGATTTGCATTATCTTACAAGGAACCTGTTTTTTTTTTTTTAAACAGACAAAAATACTCATGTTTGTAAACTGATTTTTCTTTCCTTCTGTTGGGATTGTGTCTGTTATCTCTGTGCTAGACGTAGGGTGAGGAAGGTTTTGTCCTTGCCTCTTTCTTGCTACCCAGTGTTGTCCTTATTGCCCAAAGGCAGATATTGCTGAAATGGTTTTCTTTTTTTGGTGGTTTTTGTTTTTGAGACAGGGTCTTACTCTGTCTCTCAGGCTGTAGTGCAGTGGCATAATCACAGCTCCCTATAGCCTCGATGTCCCTGGGCTCAAACAGTCCTCCCATTTTCCACCTCAGCCTCCTGAGTAGCTGGAACTACAGGTGCACACCATTACGCTTGGCTTATATTTTGTAGAGAGGAGGTTTTGCCATGTTGCCCAGGCTGGTTTCAAACTCCTGTGCTCAAGCAATCTGCCCACCTTGGCCTCCCAAAGTGCTTGGGCTAACAGGCATGAACCACCGCACCTGGCTTCTTTTTTGGTTCTTAGAAGGAAGTGTTCAGAGGCAGTGTAGATAAAAATCCCAATTAGAACCTTATTGATCCTGAATTACCTTTCTGGAACTTCAGCTGTGGCCTAAAACTTGCTTCACACTTCTGTCCCTTCCATAAAAGGAGCTTAGCTTTTAACAAATTATTTTCCACTCTGGTCTAAAACAGTTGCTTAAAATTTAAGGGCATTTTTCTAGCCTTTGGCTTTATTTGTTCCATTCTTTAGCTTCCCTGGTTTTCAATTTTAGGCTTTCCTTGGGGATCTTGGACAGTGTGAATTTTGAGGAGATCCAGATTTGCATCTTTGCTTTTGAAAGCACAAATCACTAGCTTCAGTTTAACTTGGAGACAGTAAAAGCTTGTGCAGTGTTTGGTTAATGAGTGACATTCTATTCAAGGGCTAGAGGACCTGCTTGATTTCATTGCATCCATTTGTCTCCCTTTCTGGGACCTACCCCCAGATCTCCTTGGGGAGGGATTCTGTTTTCAAGTTTTGTTTTGTTCTCTATTATCTGCCACTTCAGCTGATACATATCTGGTTACTTGTGAATATGATTCTTAATGGGCCAAGATAAAAAGGAATCAACTCTTACAAGACATTTAGCCCGAACACTGAAGATTGGCCCAATTTCTGTCAAGCCTACAGGCTGTTTTTCAAGCCAAATTTATCAGCAACCAGGGAAGACAGGACTTAAGAATAGGTAAAAATGCCCTGGAGAGTTGAACATCTTGTTATGAGAACTGAATCTTAGCTCTAGTATGATCTAGTGCAGTTCAGCCATCCTGGGAAGGATGCTGCTGGGAGGGAGGGACAGTGAGCTGCCCTCATCCTGTCAAATCGCTTTCCTGTTCATTCACGTATGCTTCCCATGCTTAACTTGCCAGGGCTATTTTTTTGGTAGTGACAGTGGTCTGTGTTGCTTTTCTTGTATCTAAAAAATAGTGTAGTTGAATAATTAGTCACTACACTTTGTCAAATATAGAGATGGGGTTTATTAGTCAGGGTACACGAGTAGTCCTTGCCACCCATTTATTCTGTGCGTTTGCTTTGTCCTCTTAACAATAGAAACCACCATCATGGGTTCGGGTCCCATAGACCCCAAGGAACTTCTCAAGGGCCTGGATAGCTTCCTTAACCGAGATGGGGAAGTCAAAAGTGTGGATGGCATTTCCAAGATATTCAGGTGAGTCTTTAAACTTTTTTGGATTCATTGTGAGTAGAGAATATTGTGTGTTAAAATATGGCTACAGTTGGGGCAGACTGAAATGATTCTGGAATGGAAAGGGAAAGATAATGCAATAGGATTAAAATCCAACAATTTTAGGATAAGGGATAGGAAAAGATGATCACTTGGATTCTGACCATAATGGAAGCTGGAGATTTGAACATTCACAGTCTCAAGGGAACCATGGGTTGGAATGAGAGCAGGGGAGCCTGGTGACAGAATTCTAAATTGTTTTGGTTCGTGTTCCATCTACCTATAATGTTACTTTCCTTCAGGGATTATCATGTTTTCCAGGGGAGGGTAAATAACTAAGCCAGTCTTGAACAGTTGTTGAGGGCTAGCCTTATCACCTGAAGGCAGATTGAAATTGATCCTGTGTGTTAGGGAAGCAGTGATGGTTTCCTTCCCAGCTCAGAGACTTCAGGGTCTGTTCTCCCATAAGTTTCCATGTTGCACTCCTCTCTGGAGCAAAGTCCCAAGTCATCAGGAATCTCTAGGCAGTTCACAGATTAGAGAGGCACTTTTGCTAAGAGAAAACATACTGGCTGCTTCATTTCTAACGCTAACTCATCTACAGTTTAATGAAGGAAGCACGAAAGATGGTGAGTCGATGCACTTACTTGAACATTCTACTGCAGACCCGTTCACCAGAAATACTGGTCAAGTAAGTGGGGATCTGGATGTTTGGGATGGGACGATACAGCTAGAAGATGGGGTCAATGAGGCTTGGGGTTTCTGGGTCATTAATGGGAGATGGGGATTGTGGGCTGTGGTACTTTCAAAACCCAGAAAGGGCATTACAGATAGACTCTCCTGACTGCCTGCAGATTTATTGATGTCGGTGGCTACAAACTTCTCAACAATTGGCTAACATATTCAAAGACAACCAACAACATTCCCCTCCTCCAGCAAATTCTACTGACCCTGCAGCACCTGCCGCTCACTGTAGACCATCTCAAGCAGGTACGTTTAGTCTTTAAACCCTGATTCTTCCTTTTTTGGTTTAGTCTAACAGATGAAAAACTCACACTGACTGGTGTGAATGTAATCTTTGGTCTGTGAGGTAGAATGGCAGAAAAAAAATGAATTTAGAATAAGAAGACTTGGTTTGAATTTATCTCCTTTAATAGGTGTGGGGCTGGCCAGGTGTGGTGGCTCATACCTGTAATCCCAGCACTTTGGGAGGCTGAGGCGGGTGGATCATGAGATCAGGAGTTCAAGACCAGCCTGGCCAAGATGGTAAAACTCCATCTCTACTAAATATACAAAAAATAGCTGAGCATGGTGGTAGGTGCCTGTAATCCCAGCTACTTGGGAGGCTGAGGCAGGGACTTGCCTGAACCCAGGAGGCAGAGGTTGCAGTGAGCCAAGATGGCACCACTGCACTCCAGCTTGGTCACAGAGTGACACTCTGCCTTAAAAAAAAAAAAAGGCGTGTGGCGACCAAACATGGTGGCTCACGCCTGTAATCTCAACACTGGGAGGCCAAGGCGGGCAGATCACGAGATCAGGAAATCGAGACTGTGCTGGCTAACACAGTGAAATACCATCTCTACTAAAAATACAAAAAATTAGCTGGGCATGGTGGCACACGCCTGTAGTCCCAGCTACTCAAAAGCTAGGCAGGAGAATCGCTTGAACCCAGGAGGCGGAGGTTGTAGTGAGCTGAGATTGCACCACTGTACTCCAGACTGGGCAACAGAGCGAGACTCCGTATCAAAAAAAAAGGGATTGTAACTTGTGTGGTTGTTAGCTCTAAGTAGACTTACTTCTCTTTTTGCATTTACCTTTCTGCTGCTCCCATCTCTCATAGAACAACACAGCTAAACTGGTGAAGCAACTGAGCAAGTCAAGTGAGGATGAAGGTAGGGTACCAGTCCTTCCTCTCATGGGCTTTTCCTGTATTACTTCTACTTAATTACCTTCATATCTCTTCCCATCCTTAGATTGTCCCTTCACTTCTTTTCTTTTTGTATCTCACCTTGCTTTTTTCCTCCTTTTAAACAAAGTTCCTCTAACCTGTACCCTCTTTCCTGTTCTTAATTCCAAGTGGAAGTTGTTCATTATTTTGTTGTTGAATATAAGATAAGGTGCCATACTTTAACCGGAAGCTGATTCCTAAGATTGCTTGGTATAAAACATATACACTTAAAATTCACTGTAGGAGATAGTATGATCCTAGAGTAGCTTGTCGTTATTTACTTCTGCTTTTCTTTTTTTCTTTCTTTTTTTTTCCTTTAAAAAGCCTCCAGTGGAACTGTTTTTCTAACTATAATATTCTGGCACCTTCAGTATCTGTTTTCCTAACAATAAATGTATTCGTTCTAGTTCTACCATTAAACATATTCTTGTAGGACATGGGCAAAATCTTGACTCTTGGAATATATCAAAGCTCTGATTCTTTCCTTTTCTAAAAGGGTTGTGGAGCTTCTGGCAAGGACCATACAGTTCTGGCTTGAAGACAAAAGCCTGTCTCCTTTAGAAATTACGAGTTTCCTTTATCTCTACCCAGGGCATGAGCGAGGAGCACAAGATACTAATTCCCCACCAAGTGAGCAGTAATCTGTTTCCAGCTGGCTTAATTGTGCTGCCCTCTCTGAATATGGATTTAATTACCATCATTCATTGAAATTTGTATATTCCCTGTCGACTGTAGTTAAGTCTCACTGGATCATAGTACCAGTTGCTCCAGAAGGGTTTTAGGATATTCTTGCATTGAGATTTGTTCGTGTTGGCTTAGGTACAGAAATTGCCAATTGTGTGACTGTTTTGAAAAGTTAAGTTTTAATGTTCTATGAAAATCTTACTACTAAATGATAAATTATGGAATGAGTCTATAGGTGGAAATGTTGGCCAAAAGAGAGGTACCATATATCAAAGATGTTACTTACCAAGTACAAAAGGAAAGAACTACAACAAAGTATTTTTTCATGTATTTAGAAACAAACTTCACTTCTTGTTTTCTCATCTATGAAAGAAAATAAAATGTCTTCAGATTGTTGTGACAATTAGGTGAGTTATATGTAAAGCAACTAGTGGAGGTTTTTTAAAAAAAGTTAGTTTTTGAGGAACTGATGGATTTTGGTTACATATATAAGCTCTTTAATGGTGATTTCGGAGATTTTGGTACAAGAGGTGATGGCAGAACCAGGGGTCGGGGGCACCCGAGCAGTGTACACTGAACCCAGTGTATAGTCTTTTACTAATAGATTTTAACCACATATTCTTAAATAAATATTAAGTCTTTTTACTTCATATTGGTGCGATAGCATCAGAGTTGAAAGTTATCTTGAGTAGAGCACAATTCCAATTCATTGTTCCATTTTTTAAGAGCTTGGTTTTTAAGCATATCTCATGTTCTTCTTAAAACATTGGGTTACTTTCTCCATTGCACAGATTTTCACAGTATTCTCTCAAACTTCCCATTTTCTGTTCCTAGAAGAATGATATTTTACCTTATTTAGGCATTTCCCCTTTCTCTCACCTGCAGAGCTCCGGAAACTGGCCTCAGTCCTTGTCAGCGACTGGATGGCTGTCATCCGTTCTCAGAGCAGTACCCAGCCCGCTGGTGAGCTCCTTAGTCCTTTATCCTTTATATTTTTTTGTTTCCTATTGGGATATGGCCTTTAGATGCTCCTATTCTGCTTCACCTCTGACAGTGTTTATTTAAATAAAATCCTTTTCTGCTTTGTTTTTTCACAACAGAGAAAGATAAGAAGAAACGTAAAGATGAGGGAAAAAGTCGAACTACCCCTCCTGAGCGACCTTTGACTGAGGTGAAGGCTGAGACCCGGGCCGAGGAGGCCCCAGAGAAGAAGAGGGAGAAGCCCAAGTCTCTTCGAACCACAGCACCCAGTCATGCCAAGTTCCGTTCCACTGGTAAGACTGGCGGCTGGCCTCGGGAGCGTTCGTGGGCATGTGTACTCCCAGAGCCTTATGGGGGAATCATTTGATGTGTGATACATTAATCCTAAGGAAGAGGGAAGAAGCTTTGGTTACAAGGCTAGAAGAACATTTGTGGGTGAGAACAGGGAGGAAAATTCAGCGGCCTGGGGGTTTGAGTTCGACTCTCCATACCATGCTTCTTTCCCCAGGACTAGAGCTGGAGACACCATCCTTGGTGCCTGTGAAGAAGAATGCCAGCACAGTGGTGGTTTCTGACAAGTACAACCTTAAACCCATCCCCCTCAAACGTCAGAGGTATGGCTCCTGTTCTCAGGTTCTGAATGGGGTAGATCTGTGGACACAAGGGAGCAAGAAGTGGGTGAGTCAGATGTTGACAGTTCCTCTTTTGACAGCAATGCAGCTGCCCCAGGAGATGCTGTCCCCACTGCAGAGAAGAAATACAAGCCACTCAACACAACACCTAACGCCACCAAAGAGATCAAAGTGAAAATCATCCCACCACAGCGTGAGTCTGAAGTGGGGAGATGTACTTTGAATTAGCAAACTCTTATCATGGGAACAAATGTCCCCAGAAATGAGAAGTTTTTTCCCTTCTCTTATTATTTCCCTCCATTTTCCTTTGATTTCTTGGTATCCCTTACTTTTTGTACCCCTGGAGCTCCTGTTTCAGGGGTCACTTAGGAGTTATTTTATTTTATTTATTTTTTTTGAGATGGAGTTTCGCTCTTGTTACCCAGGCTGTAGTGCAATGGCACGATCTCGGCTCACCGCAACCTCTGCCTTCTGGGTTCAAGCAGTTCTCCTGCCTCAGCCTCCCGAGTAGCTGGTACTACAGGCGTGCACCACCATGCCTAGCTAATTTTTGTATTTTTATTAGAGACAGGGTTTCACCTTGTTGACCAGGATGGTCTCGATCTCTTGACCTTGTGATCTACCCGCCTTGGCCTCCCAAAGTGCTGGGATTATAAGCATGAGCCACTGTGCCCGGCCGGGAGTTATTTTGGAGATAAGATAGAGGGATGTGCCATTCTGTGACTGGTCAGGGGCACCTGGTGTTATGTCGTGTTCATTTCATCAGTTTTACCTGAGCTCTAATTCATATCCAAAGCTATGGCTTGCCTGCCAAGAGAAACCTAAAATAACAAGAAGAATCCTACATGTGCTTCCTGGTCCTCTTGAGCTTATTGTGTCCTAAGTTGAGGCACGGTCTTCATTGGCCCATTTTATGCCTGGACAGTGTTTGCAGGTGTAGGCTTATGAAGGAGATCTGATGATGCTATTTGATGCTCTTTCCTTTTGTAGCTATGGAGGGCCTCGGCTTTCTGGATGCTCTCAATTCAGCCCCTGTTCCAGGCATCAAAATTAAGAAGAAGAAAAAAGTGCTGTCACCTACAGCTGCCAAGGTATGGGCTCCAAGAAGTAGGTTTCAGTGACAGTATAAAAGGTAAAGCAGAAGAAAGGGCACAGCAGCCAGGAGTTGTCAGTTGTTGTTTTGCCTTGGGTATAGACTGGTGCAGGTGAGACCATATTGGAGACAGAGTCTTCCTTTATACAGGAATTGTGCCTGGGACGCTGGACTAGCTGCCTTGCCCTTGGCTTTCCAGTCAGTTTATTAACGTCCTTTTCTTTCATAATAGCCAAGCCCCTTTGAAGGGAAAACGAGCACAGAACCAAGCACAGCCAAACCTTCTTCCCCAGAACCAGCACCACCTTCTGAGGCAATGGACACAGACCGTCCAGGCACCCCAGTTCCCCCTGTTGAAGTCCCAGAGCTCATGGATACAGGTAATTTAGAAACTGGTTCAGTTTGTGGCAAGGGGGTTTTGGAAAGGAGAGATCTGGGTCTGAAACCTCTTCTGTGCACAGCCTCTTTGGAGCCAGGAGCTCTGGATGCCAAGCCAGTGGAGAGTCCTGGAGATCCTAACCAGCTGACCCGGAAAGGCAGGAAAAGGAAAACTGTGACGTGGCCTGAGGAGGGCAAACTGAGGGAATACTTCTATTTTGAATTGGATGAAACTGAACGAGGTAAGAGGTCATTTTCTATGTAATAGGTGTCTTTAGGGGATTTTAAAAGGACTTGGTTGTGCTTACTTTCCCTCTTCCTTTTCTTCCCTTGCCGATAGTAAATGTGAATAAGATCAAGGACTTTGGCGAGGCAGCTAAGCGAGAGATACTGTCAGACCGACATGCATTTGAGACAGCCCGGCGTCTGAGCCATGACAACATGGAGGAGAAGGTGCCCTGGGTGTGCCCCCGGCCCCTGGTTCTACCATCACCTCTTGTCACCCCTGGAAGCAATAGTCAGGAGCGATATATCCAGGCTGAGCGGGAGAAGGGAATCCTTCAGGAGCTCTTCCTGAACAAGGAGAGGTGAGCAGAGTGGGATTTGTGCCCTGGGATGTTGAGGGCTTGGACACTCCTAAGGGGAACATGACTTGGGGTAATTAAGCATGGGTGGAGGTTAGAAATAACTTTCAGGGCCTAAATTAATAACTTAACTGTCATTCTTTTTTCCATCACTTGTGCTGTTCCTGATAGTCCTCATGAACCTGATCCTGAGCCCTATGAGCCCATACCCCCTAAACTCATCCCCCTAGATGAGGTGAGTGAGTCAATATTATGTGATGATAGAGGTTGTGATGATCATTGATTTTGGTGCATCTTTCACGAGAAAATGTCTCCATTCTTTCAGTTAGGCCTGATTTTTTTTCTTCTTCTTTCAGGAGTGTTCCATGGATGAGACTTCATATGTTGAGACCCTGGAACCTGGGGGGTCAGGTGGCTCACCTGATGGGGCAGGAGGCTCCAAGTTGCCTCCAGTTCTGGCCAATCTTATGGGAAGCATGGGTGCCGGAAAGGGCCCCCAAGGCCCTGGAGGAGGAGGCATTAATGTGCAGGAGATCCTTACCTCCATCATGGTATGCACCCCCTTCCCTTCGCCACCTCCTTGGAGCCTCCTTAAGCGCACTGTCCTCACTCTGTCTCCCATTCACCTTACCTTGGTCCTCCACATCTACCCACTTACTCCTAATCTTTGAGTCCCTTTTGCGATGGTTGTTACCCTTTCTGTCTGTTGACTTTGCCTTCTTATATGCTCACAGGGTAGCCCAAACAGTCATCCTTCAGAGGAACTACTGAAACAACCAGACTATTCAGACAAGATCAAGCAGATGCTGGGTAATCTTCAGGGCCAGCCCCAGAGGCCTGGGGGAGGAAGCCTTCAGTGGAGTTTGGGGAGGCAGGTTTTCACAGATGTGAAAGAGTATAGGGCTATTGCCACTAGACAAGAAGTGGGAGGGGAAGACTGGACAGAGAGCACTGCTCTGCCAGCTTGGTCTGAGAGGGTCAGTTGGGCACACCTAAACGGGAGATCATGTTAGTCTTCTAGAGTGCTCATACTGACTGTGTTACTCTTGTTTTCATTAACAGTGCCACATGGACTCTTAGGCCCTGGCCCAATAGCCAATGGTTTCCCACCAGGGGGTCCTGGGGGCCCCAAGGGCATGCAGCACTTTCCCCCTGGACCTGGGGGACCTATGCCAGGTAGGTGGTGAGTAAGAGGTTGGAATGGGCTAATCGGCCTAATTTCAAGTGATAATAGTATGGGATTGCCTGGAAGGCGGGAGGTGGTGGTTTCTGTTGGGAGACGGCAATTCCTGAGTGTAGTAGATAGCTGATGCTCTCTCTTTTCTCTCTTACAGGTCCCCATGGAGGCCCTGGTGGGCCAGTGGGTCCACGTCTCCTGGGTCCTCCACCCCCTCCCCGGGGGGGTGATCCCTTCTGGGATGGCCCAGGTGACCCCATGAGGGGTGGCCCAATGCGGGGGGGTCCAGGACCAGGTCCTGGACCATACCATAGAGGCCGAGGTGGCCGAGGGGGAAACGAACCTCCTCCTCCTCCTCCTCCTCCTCCGTTCAGAGGCGCCAGAGGAGGTCGCTCTGGAGGAGGTCCCCCAAATGGACGAGGGGGGCCTGGTGGGGGCATGGTTGGAAGTGGTGGGCATCGTCCCCATGAAGGTCCTGGCGGTGGTATGGGCAACAGCAGTGGACATCGTCCCCACGAAGGCCCTGGCGGTGGCATGGGCAGTGGGCATCGCCCCCATGAAGGCCCTGGTAGCATGGGCGGGGGTGGAGGACATCGTCCCCATGAAGGCCCTGGCGGTGGCATCAGTGGTGGCAGTGGCCATCGTCCCCACGAAGGCCCTGGCGGAGGAATGGGTGCCGGAGGTGGACATCGCCCCCATGAAGGCCCTGGACACGGGGGGCCCCATGGCCACCGGCCTCATGATGTTCCTGGTCACCGAGGCCATGATCATCGAGGGCCACCACCTCATGAGCACCGTGGCCATGATGGCCCTGGCCATGGGGGAGGGGGCCACCGAGGGCACGATGGAGGCCACAGCCATGGAGGAGGTGAGGATGCTCCCTGCCTCCATATACCTTTTGATGTGCCGTACAAGATTTTAGGGAGTGGTGGTGGGGAGAGTCACCACTGTTGGTAGCTAGGCAGAATGTGAAGTCCCCTTATTTCCTTGGTGTCCTAGTATGCATAGCAATTCCTACTCTGCCCTTCCCCCAGATCCACAAGATCATGTCTCTGAAACACAGTTCTCAGGATGCCATGGACTGGGGTGGTGAAGGTGTTGGCATTGCCCGCAGCCATTTCCTGTCTAACTGTTCTGCTTTTGTTCCCACAGACATGTCAAACCGCCCTGTCTGTCGACATTTCATGATGAAGGGCAACTGCCGCTATGAAAACAACTGTGCCTTCTACCACCCGGGTGTCAATGGGCCCCCCCTGCCCTAGGGACCATTTGCCTGTCCTGTTCACACAACCCCTGTGGACTGCAGCCTCGCTCCTTCCACCCTGTTATGGCTTCTGTGAGGCCCATTTTCCCCTTTCCCCAGCTGATGAGGAGCCAGCCCCCTCAGTTCCCACTTGCTTGGGTTCCTGGGGGTTTTCTGATCACTGGTGCGCATTGATGTACATATTTTCCTCCAGTCTGGGGAGGAGAGAGACTGGTAACGTTCTGTACCCTGGACTGCTGAAGAGGAGACCCAGTTGGCTTCACTTTTTGAGAAGATTCGCCCTGTACCCCAAACCCCTTTCCAGTATTGCCCATAATGCCTGAGAACGTAAAGCTGGTTATCCTGGAGAAAACCCCTACCCTTCTATTGCGGGTCCCCACATGCACACAGAACTCTGACACAGGATCAGCTGCACTTAAGAAATCCCAGCTAAGCTCATTATTACTCATGGGGTGGGGAGATGGTGAAGGGGTATTGTATATCCCACTGCACTGAGGGGGCTCAATCAGCTGGATTTGAGTTCTGGAACACACATCATCCCCACTCCTCCCCCAGCATGGGCTCCATTCAGAGTCCTTTCTCAAGTGGGACCTTGAACTTAGTGTGAACAACCATTCTGCGTCCTGGGTCTGCTGGGTTCGACGATCGTGAACTCATATCTGCATCCAGTGAAAGTAGCTGGCAGAGTTGAGGCCAGTGGTGCTGGTCTGCTCTTGCCAACTACAGCCAGTCTGTAGACTTGATAAAGTACTTCAGTGAGACCAGCTTCTCATTAACTTGTGCCCGGCGTGCTGGGCCTGAAAGTCACACTACATGCACTGCCTTTGGGAGTTAGCGCACTCCCTGCCCCTACTTGGAACCTTGTCAGTGTGAAGGCGGCTTCCTGCTGCTTCACCCTGTCAACCGCCTCTGAATCCCCACCAGGTGCCTTCCTGGGTGGATTCAACAAGATGATTTTGCCCTTTCCCAGTCCTCTCATTCACCTTGGCATCAGTTGTTTTCTATGAAAACAGTGGATTGGTTGGGTCTTGTGCAGGGTCTTGGGTTAGAGCCACAATGGATTTGAGGATGAGTATTTTCTTTTTCTTTTGGTTTTGTATATTTTGTACATTAATAATAAACAGTGGAAAGAGAAGCAGCTTATTTAACCCCTGGTTGTTCAGACTCTTTTTTGAGATGGAGTCTTGCTCTGTTGCCCAGGCTGAAGTGTGGTGGCACAGTCTCAGGTTACTGCAACCTCTGCCTCCCGAGGAGCTGGGATTACAAGTGCCTGCCACCACATCTGGCTAACTTTTTGTATTTTTAGTAGAGACGGGGTTTCACCATGTTGGCCGGGCTGATCTTGAACTCCTGACTTCACAATCCACCCACTGCAGCTTCCCAAAGCACTGGGATTACAGGCATGAGCCACTGCGCCTGGCCTGGACTGTTTGTTTTAAAAGCCATTATTGGCCAGGCACAGTAGCTCACACCTGTAATCCCAGCACTTTGGGAGGCTGAGGCAGATGAATCATCTGAGGTTGGGAGTTTGAGACCAGCCTGACCAACAGGCTGAAACCCCTGTCTCTACTAAAAATACAAAAAATTAGCCAGGCGTGGTGGCAGGTGCTTGTAATCCCAGCTACTTGGGAGGCTGAGGCAGGATAATCACTTGAACCCAGGAGGAGGAGGATGCAGAGAGCCAGGTTATGCCACTGCACTCCAGCCTGGGCAACAAGAGGGAAACTCCGTCTCAAAAAATAATAATAATAATAACTGCTGGGATTACAGGTGTGAGCCACTGCAGCCAGCCAGGGAAACTCCATTTCTTCTTTTTTTCTTTCCTTTTTTTTTTTGAGAAGGAGTTTTGCTGTTTTGCCCAGGCTGGAGTGCAGTGGCACCATCTAGGCTCACTGCAACCTCTGCCTCCCCAGTTCAAGTGATTCTCCTGCCTCAGCCTCCTGAGTAGCTGGGATTACAGGCATGTACCACCACGTGCAGCTAATTTTGTATTTTTAGTAGAGATGGGGTTTTTCCATGTTGGCCAGGCTGACCTCAAACTCCCAACCTTAGGTGATCTACCCACCTGAGCCTCCCAAAGTGCTGGGATTACAAGTGGGAGCCACCACACCTGGCCAGGAAACTCCATTTCTAATTAAAAAAAAATGAGTTCAAGTCCAGCCTGACCATCATGGTAAAACCCCGTCTCTACTAAAACTACAAAAATTAGCTGGGGTGTGGTGGCAGGCACCTGTAATCCCAGCTATTTGGGAGGCTGAGGCAGGAGAATCGCTTGAACCCAGGAGGCGGAGGATGCAGTGAGCCGAGATCACGCCATTGCACTCCAGCCTGGGAAAAAAAGAGTGAAACTCTGTATCAGAAAAAAACAAAAAAAAAAACACCCAGAAATTAGGGGTATATCACTGGGATGTGTGTGGCAGATATGGGGCAGTTGGAAATACTGATGTTGGCATGTGGCAGTTGGAAATACTGATGTTGGCATGTGGGTTAAGAATGGTGGTTTGGGCCAGGCGCGGTGGCTCACGCCTATAATCCCAGCACTTTGGGAGACCGAGGCGGGTGGATCATGAGGTCAAGAGATTGAGACCATCCTGGTCAACATGGTGAAACCCCGTCTCTACTAAAAATACAAAAAATTAGCTGGGCATGGTGGCGCGTGCCTGTAATCCCAGCTACTCAGGAGGCTGAAGCAGGAGAATTGCCCGAACCCAGGAGGTGGAGGTTGCAGTGAGCCGAGATTGCACCATTGCACTCCAGCCTGGGTAACAAGAGCGAAACTCCGTCTCAAAAAAAAAAAAAAAAAGAATGGTGGTTTGGTTTTCAAGTCTGTTAGCATTCATCAGAATCATCTGAAGAGCTTATTAGGAAACAAATTGGGGCCAGGCATGGTGGCATGCACCTGTAGTCCCAGCTACTCAGGAGACTGAGGCAGGAGAATCCCTTGAACCAGGGAGGTGTAGGTTACAGTGAGCCGAGACTTCACCACTGCACTCCAGCATGGGCGACAGAGCAAGACTCCATCTCAATAAACAACAACAACAACAAAACTGGGGCTGGGCGCGGTAGTTCACACCCTAATCCCAGCACTTTGGGAGGCTGAGGCAGGCAGATCACCTGAGGTCAGGAGTTTGTGACCAGCCTGGTTAACATGGCGAAATCCCGTCTCTACTAAAAATACAAAAAATTAGCTGGGCATGGTGGTGGGTGCCTGTACTATGAACTACTGGATAAGCTGAGGAGAATTGCTTGAACCCAGGAGGTAGAGGTTGCAGTGAGCCGAGATCATGCTACTTCACTCCAGCCTGGGTGACAGAGTAAGACTCCATATCAAATGAATGAATGAATGAATAAATAAATAAATAAATGCAAGCCAGGCATGGTGGCTTGTGCCCATAACATAATCCCAGCTACCCGGGAGGCTGAGGCAGGAGAATCACAGGAAGTGGAGGTTGCAGTGAAGTGAGCCAAGATCACACCGTTGTACTTCAGCTTGGGTGACAGAGCGAGACTGCATCTAAAAAAAAGAGATAAATTGAAGGTGGGATCCAGCAAAATTCTAATTCAGTAAGTCAGGATGGATGTCAGGATGGATCCTGAGATATTTGCATTTCTAACAAATTCCCAGTTGCTGATGCTGCTGCACTGCCTAGAACACGTGTCTCAGCTGTTATTTCCAGCATTGGCCACATGAGGGCAACAATGTTTTATTGATATATCTTAAAGGCCTCACTGCATTTAGGACCAAAGTGGGTAGTTTTACCTTACCCTTGCCCGGGCTTGGTGTGTGTGTGGGCAGAGGTGTTCTCCAGCGTTGCTCTGTGCACTGGAGAAGACCTGAGAAGACATAATCTAAGGACCAAGTTAAGATTTGAAATACCCAAGAAGTACACAGCTCAAGAGAAAAAAAAACCCAACATATCACAACCTAGTGGTCACAACTTTGTGTCTTTTTTTTTGAGATGGAGTTTTGCTCTGTCTTCCAGGCTGGAATGCAGTGGTGTGATCTCAGCTCACTGCAACCTCCACCTCCCAGGTTCAAGCAATTCTCCTGCTTCAGCACCCCCTAGTAGCTGGGATTACAGGTGCATGCACCATATCCCGCTATTTTTTGTATTTTTATTAACAGACGGGGTTTCACCATGTTGGCCAAGCTGGTCTCAAATACCTAACCTCAGATGATCCACCCACCTCGGCCTCCCAAAGTGCTGGGATTACAGGTGTGAGCCACTGCACCTGACATTGTGTCTCTTTCTTTCTTGTTCCATCTACTGCCTGTTTCTCGCCCTCTTCCTTCTATCTCCTTCAACAAGCCACAAGAACCTTTAAAGAGAGTTTAATTTTTTTTCTGTGTTTTAAGAATGAGCTTGATCATTTTCTTATTTATGTCTTTGAGAGAGAGTCTCACTCTGTCACCCAGGCTGGAGTACAATGGTGCCATCTCAGCTTACTGCAACCTCCACCACCCAGATTCAAGCAATTCTACCTCAGCTTCCCTGTAGCTGGGATTACAGGCGCCTGCCACCATGCCCGGCTGATTTTTGTATTTTCAGTAGATGGATTTCACAGTCTTGGCCAGGCTGGTCTTGAACTTCTGACCTTGTGATCCACCCACCTCAACCTCTCAAACTGCTGGGATTACAGGCGTGAGCCACCGTGCCCAGCTTTTTGAGACAGAGTTTCACTCTTTCACCCAGGCTGGAGTGAAGTAGTGCAATCTTGGCTCACTGCAACCTCTGCCCCCCAGGTTCAAGTGATTCTCCTGCCTCAGCCTCCCAAGTAGCTGGGATTACAGGCTCTTGCCACCACATTTGGCTAATTTTTGTATTTTTAGTAGAGATGGGGTTTCATTATGTTGGTCAGGCTGGTCTCAAACTCCTGACCTCAGGTGATCCACCTGCCTCAGACTCCCAAAGTGCTAGGATCACAGGTGTGTGCCACATTGCCTGGCCTACCTGTTCGTTTTTACTGATGCAAAAGCTTTAGACTATATAAAGAGAAGTTTTTTGTTTTTTTTTTTTTTGCAGGGGGAGATAGGTCGAACATTTCATCCATTTCTCTACAATAATGTTTCTTCACCAAGCCCTGCAGGCACTTTTCTCTCTGCTGTTTCAGTTTGTTTTGCCTTTCTGCTTCCATTTTTTCCCCTTTAAAATATCCTCATAATGGCTGGGCACAGTGGCTCATGCCTGTAATCTCAGCACTTTGGGAGGCCAAGGTGGGTGGATCACCTGAGGTCGGGAGTTTGAGATCAGCTTGACCAACATGGAGAAACCCTGTCTCTACTAAAAATACAAAAATTAGTTGGGCATGGTGGTGGGCATCTGTAGTCCCAACTCTTCAGGAGGCTGAGGCAGGAGAATCGCTTGAACTTGGGAGGCGGGGGTTGCAGTGAGCTGAGATCGCGCCACTGCACTCTAGCCTGGGTGACAGAGCAAGACTCCGTCTCAAAAAAAAAAAAAAAAAAAATACCCTTGGCTATTCAACGTTCTCTTCCTGTCAATCCTTCCCCAGGTGCAACGGGTTCTATCTTCCATTCAGAATAATTATCCTTTTCTTTCATTCCCGCTCCCGGGCAGTGAACCTAATGTTGAAAAATTACAAAATCCTACTATCTTGGCCCAGTACAAATTAATGTTAACATTAATTCTACACTTATTGCTGCTTGGCGAACTTCTAACCCTTCTTTTTTTTTTTGAGATGGAGTTTCACTCTTGTTGCCCAGGCTGGAGTGCAATGGCGTGATTTCGGCTCACTGCAACCTCCACCTCCTGAGTTCAAGTGATTCTCAGGCCTCAGCCTCCCGAGTGGTTGGGATTACAGGCACATGCCACCACATCTGACAAATATTTGTGTTTTTAGTAGAGATGGGGTTTCGCCATGTTGGTCTGGCTAGTCGCAGACTCCTGACCTCAGGTGATACGCCTATCTCAGCCTCCTAAGGTGCTGGGATTACAGGCTTGAGCCACCTTGCCCGGTCTATTCTTGATTCTCCGGCACCAAAGTTTGGGAGAAAGTGAGTCCCATCGTCTATGAGCAACATTTCCCCTTCTCTTCACATGGAAATATCTCCCTTCCATTCTTAGATGAAGAGAATCTTCAAAGTAATATTGAACTTTTTTCCTGGCATCTCCTTTACCTGTCTCCTCAC